GAAAACACTGACAAGTAAAGACTAGACACAATTACTAGGTACAGTGAAAATCTGCTGCAAATATTTCTGAGGTAAGAAGGCACCACATACCTGTTCAACTAAGAAAACCACCCTTACAACACAGGAGGATTTTATTTTTACGTAGGACCTAGAACACTTAAGCTGCCAATTAGGTGCTGAGTGGCAGAGCGACACCCCCGCTTATGCCCTGAAGTCGTAGGGATAGCTTCCAACACCTCAGGCTCCTTCCCACTGGTCCTCACAGAGTGCGCTTCTCTGGGCGGGGCAGGCCAGCGCTTCAGCTGAACCCAGGTGCCTTTCTCTTTGGCTTCCTTCTTTTTCTGATCATTTACCTTGACATGTTTCAGGAAGCTATCATGACTTTTTGAGTGTTTAATATGCTCAATATGCACATTAATCCTCTTGGCAAGTATCTTGCCCTTAACTTGCTTGTTTACAACAATGCCAACAGCATGCTGGGTAACGTTGTAGACTCTTCCTGTCTTGCCATGGTGACATTTGTGAGGCCTTCCTTTTTGCACAGCACCCATTTCCTTGATGTCTACAGTATCACCCTTTTTGTAGATTTGCATGCATGTGCCCAAAGGAACAACCCCATGTTTTCTGAAAGGCCTGGAAAACATATACTAGGTTCCTCTCCTCTTGCCCTTTGTGTTAGCCATTTTTGGCAAATTACTGGAACATGGCAGTTCTGGCTGAGAGACCCAACTGATTCTTTGAGACAGGAAGAATACTCTTAAGGGGATTGGAGAGCTTTCTTCCGCCTTGTTCCTGCATGGCCTGAGCTAGTGGAACTAGAGCAGGTACCCTGCGGGGCTGGGTCCTAGCAAGCCCCCTCACTCTGAAATCTTTTTTTTTTTTTTAATCCATTTCCTCTCCCTTCCCTTGCTGCTTCTCCCAATTTTTGTTCCCCTTCCATTTCCAAAAGCCCTACTTTTGTTGTACTTCAATGCTCTTTTCTAACCTTTCCCTATCTCTTTTTTCCCTTTCCAGTTGAAGAAGCGCTCCCTACCATCTTTTTCTTTTTTCCATGTATATAATTGGTACAGGGTCTCACTACACAGCTGGGACTCCTAGTGATCCTCCTGTTTTCAACCTCCCCAGCACTGGGATTACAGCCCTGCGCCACCACACCTGGACTAGTTCACCAGTTCAGCGCGCCCCAGGAGTGGGGCCTTTGCGGCAGAGGATCCAGCCCTGGTCCCTGCGCTGGCAAAGCAGGCATTTGTCCGCTGAACTATCTCACTGGCTCTCCAACCATCTTTCACTTTGCTCTTTATTTGTATTTTGAGTTTCTCATAAAAGAGAAATGTGTGACATTTAATCTTTTGAGTCTGACTTATTTTACTTAACATCGTGGTCTTTAGGTACACCCATTTTCCTACATATGATTCTCTACGGCAGAGTGGCATTCGACTATACATACGTACCACGTTTGCTTTTTTCATTCATTTGCTGATAGGCATATAATAATATAGGCTGTTTCCAAGATTTAACTCGTATAAATTGTGCTGCTGTAAACACGGTCATGCAGGGGCCGGCCAGACAGTTCAGCGGACCAAAGCGCCTGCTTAGGCAGAGCACAGCAGCCAGGATTCGATCCCCAGAGTGCAGCGTCAGCCCCGCCCCCGGGGCATGATGAGATGGTGACAGACTGGGCGAGGTGCCGTGCACCTGGAATCCCAGCACTTGGGAAGCCGAAAACAGGAGAACCGCTACAAGTCTGATCCACACAGTGAGACCCTGTAAACACTGTCCTAAATACAGAAAAAAATAAATAAAAATAAGCACAGTCATGCATGTATCACTGTAACATGATGACTTGCACTCTTTTGGAATGATTTCTAGAAGTGGAATTGCTGGGTCAAATGGAATTTCTATTTGTAGTGCTGTGAGGAATCTCCATACTGATTTCTGTAGTGTTGTCCCTTCCCACCAACAGTGTACAAATATTCCTTTTGCCCTGCAACATCCCCAGCATTTATTTGATTTCTTGATGATAGCCACTATTTTGGAGAGTAAGATGGAATCTCAATGTTGTTGTGATTTATATTTGTCTAACAGGCAGCAGGATTGAACATGTTTTCAACCTTCTCCTTCTCAAAAACATCTATTCATTTAAGTTGCCCTCTTGTTTTCTTCCCAATTCTACATCTTAAAGGAGTCCAGAGGTTGGGGAGATAGCTCAGCAGTCTAAGCGCCTGCCTGGTAAGCACAAGGACCCGAGTTCGATCCCCAGTACCACATGTTGTACCAGTCCCAGCACTGGGGAGGCTGAGACAGGAGGATCACTACCAGTCTGAGCTGTGAAGCAAGACTCTGTACCGATAAATAAATAAATAAAGGGGTCCAAGTACCCCAGGTGGCTGAACCTTGGCTGGTGGGAACGTCTGCCCCAGGCCGCATCAAGCCTGAGGTGGAAGTACGTGAAGACCCTAGGAATCACAAAAGGAAGTGCTCTCACTCTCCCCTAAGAAGCTGCTTTTCCTAGGTGACTGAGTTGTGGGGGTCGCCGAAAAACACCAAGTGACTCGCTCGGAAGAAGACATCCCACCCACTCCTCTTGATCATATCAGAGCGGTCCCTTGAACCTGAGCCTCACCACATCAGTCACCTGTGCCAAATTCCTCCATGACTTCTTTCAGGAGGATCTGAACCAGCTTTGTAGGCTGCGGGAAGCCTTTAGGATCTGTCCCTTCCTGTCCAGCCTCATCACGCTGCCCTTGCACAATGAGCCCACGATGGTGAACAATTTACCTTCAGATCTACCCAGCTGTCACCCCCCCACCTCCACCCTCCCCACCCCCCCCCCACCCTCCCACCCCTGGTGCATGCTGCTCCTGCCGCCTGGGCCCCCGCAGACACCTCAGGCCCCTCAACTGCAAGCCTCTCTCCTCACACAGACTCGAAGCTCCTCTCAGTTACTCTTCCTGTAAAATGAAGATAACAACCAAACTTTGAGCACTGATGGGAAGAAGGATTCTAAGAAGCAGGTGGCCGGGGACACAGGACAGGGTCAGCAAGAAGGGGAACACAAGGTACATTCAAGAGCAGGTCACTCCTGGAGGTGGAGCCTACTGGAAGACTGGGACAGGAGCGCCCTCAAAGGTCACCCAATCAGGAAGGACCCTGAAAGGTCTCCTGGGCAGCCTTTTATATAACAGCTTGGATCACTGTACTGCTGTTTTTGCTGGTCTATTTTTTTTTTAATAAATTTAGTACAGGGTCTCACTACACAGAGCAGACTCATAGCGATCCTCCTGTTTTCAGCCTCACAAGCCCTCCCTGGGATTACAGGGACGTGCCACCATGTCCAGGCTCAATGCCGGGGTGGTGGGGAGGGTGCATGATGTGCCGGGGATCAAACCCTGGTCCCTGCATCTGCCTAAGCAGGCGCTTTAATCTGCTGAGCTATCTGGCAGGCCTTTTGCTAGTTGATTGAAAGGAGCAGTCAATGTTTAATTTGTCTCTTTCCTTTTTAATTGTTTATATAATTTTTGACCAATTTTGCACGCTTGTCTACTAATCTGAACAACGAATTTGAAGACAACACTATGCAATATAACTACTATTGTTGAATTGTTATCATTTTGCTCTGTGAATTTTTTAAAACTATTTTTTGTTCTCTTTTTTAAAAAATTAAAAATAGTAACAGAAAAACAAAAAGATTACCTGCTGGTCCCCAGGCGCATCTCTTCCCGGGCACTCTGGCCACATGTGTGCCAGTTCGGTTGCTTGGGCCAGAAAAATGCCGTCGGCTAAGAGGCTCCGGCGGGGCTTGGGTGGGATTCTAAGGCCGCTAGGCTGGGACCCTCCAGCCCTGCCACCTGCTGGCTGAGCGAGCCCCACTCGGCTAGAAAGGGCACCATCAGACAAGAAACACCCTCTGCTGCCTGCAGGGAGCCAGTCTCCTACCTGCCCACGGGCTCCAAGACTGAGCAGCTCTAAACTGCCCTTGAGGGGCTCCCTCAGCCTCGGGGGTCAGTGAGGAGAGAGCGCTTGTTTCCCAATCTTGGTGTTCCTCGTGCTCTAGACCCACGTGTGCTGGATACGTTTTTCACTTTCAAACATCACACATCAGATCCAGAAATAGCAACCTAAAGCAGCTATGAAATTAACCTGTGGGTGTCTTATGAACCTCAGCGAGAGCTTCGGCGCCAGCAGAGCTGTCCTCTGTCACCTCCGTTCCAGGTGGCCCTGCTCTGCCACTCCCACGTCCTGCCCACGCCGAGCGGATTCAAGAAGCAGCCTGAAAACCAGAAATGATTTTTATCACGCTGATTGCACTCTGGTGCATGCAATCGATCAGGGGACCGGCTCAGGGAAGCTCCCTCCAACCCAGCCTCCCCCACCCCCAGACACACACCCCCAGTTGCTCCCCGCCCCCTGCCTCGGCCAGGGGAGGCCCCGGGGTTACCTTCTGCAGAAAAGCCATCCTGGCCTGTACTGCCGGCCTTGGTGTCGGATCGTCATCCCGGACCTGGATGAATTCGCGATCCGAACACAAATGCGACAGTAGGGGAAAAGCCCCCCGCCCAGCCGGCGCTGAGCAAGGAGGGCGCGGGACCCGGGCCGCCGCCGGCCGCCCCTCGACTCTCGCGCCCACCCGCCGACCTGCGAAGCAGCTGGAATCCGCGCCGGCCAATCAGCGGGCGGCGCCGCGGGCTCATTAGCATAGGCCTTGCGCCCGGCGGCCACCAGGGGGCGGCGTCCGGCTCCACCTGGACCCCGCGGAGCCTCGGGTGAGAGACCAGAGGTCTGGTCCGCAGGTGATGCGGACCGCACCCCTAAAGCCTGGGAAAGAGCGAAGACAGCAGTGGTGCCATGCCAGCCTTCTGATCCCTGCCCCGCCTGCCTCCAAGTCGCTGAATAGCGCGTGGCACTCCAAAAAAGAGGGGCTGGGGAGGAAATGACACCTGTCCCGCCCCAGTGAACAGCGGAGGCGACCACAGGCGGTGCAGGGGAAGAACGCGGCTCACCATCCGAAAGGCTGGGTCTGAACCCCGGCTTGCCACTTAGCCTGGCACCGGACGTCTCTGAACTTCCTCTTCCTTCTCTACCCAGTAAGAAGAACTTCACCTTCTTGGAGAAGGAGGTTGCGTTTGATTTTGGTTTTGGTTTTACGCAGACTGAGCTAGTGCACGGACAAGCACGTAAAACTATGACTAACAAGCGGTGTCTAGCCAGTAAACCACACCGTATCCTTGGTCTCTTGGGACTCTCTTCCTGCCCCCAAACTCCAACCCCGCCCCTGTGCTAGGAATTGAACCCAGTTCTCCAAGGCTAAGCACACGCTGCACCTCTGAGCTAACACCCATTCTGGGAACCTCTTTTTTTTTTAATTAGCATGCCTAAGGGCTAAGAATGTAGCTCAGTTGCTTAGCATGTGTAAGGACCTGGGTTTGACCCTTATCGCCACAATGTATAAACAAATAGATAAATAAATAAAAATACTATGCCTAGTTACTCTACCACCTACATATCTATAATGTATCCATTCCCAGATTAAGATGAGAACCGTTGGAACAATAAATAAGAGCAGAAAGGATACAGGCTCTGAAATCAAATTACCTGGGGTCAGATGTCAACTCTGCTATTTATTGTGCAACTTGGGCAGATTATTAAACCTCTCTGGGCTTTAGTTTCTATAAAATGGAGAAGGTGCAAAGACAGTGCCTATCTGGTGAAGATTTGAAGATGAGATAAAGTAGAGAAGATTAAATAAATTCCATTATTGCTGTTATTAATATATTCGTACAGTCATTCAAGATAATATAATGGAAACAGCACAAAATTTGGGCCACTGGCTACATCTCCAACAAGATAAAATCTTGCAGGGCTAAGACTTAGGTACTTTGGGCTCAAGCGTAGGCCTGTGTTTCCTCTCCACAGCGGAGCAGCCTACGTGTAGCTGAGGGCAGGTAGGATTGGTCCTGGGAGCATGCCTGGTAAGTGCCTCTTTGGGACATCTGGATCCCACCCCAGGAGCCAAGTTCCTGTCATGCTCGGAGATACAAGGCTAGAATAACAGTTTCAGAAAGCAGCCTGACGACTCGCTGACTCATAGGGAAATGGCTTGGCAGGCAGCCACGTGACCGAGCGTCCAGCTTGGCCACCGCCATAGGGTCAGCTGAGAAACTACTGTGTCATCCAGCTCTTCAAATTTATTTCAAATTTCACATGTATTGAGGGAAGCAAGCAAAGTAATTTCAAAATCTTTTTTTAAAATGTATTTAGCACAGGGTCTCACTACACAGATCAGACTCGTAGTGATTCTCCTGTTTTCAGCCTCCCAAGTCCTGGGATTACAGGCATGTGCCAGCACACCCAGCCTCAGTCACCACGGTCTCAGTGTGCCCCAGGGGCAGGGCCAGTATGGCAGGCTGGGGATGGAACCCAGTTCCTCCATCTGCCTAAGCAGGTGCTCAAAATCACTTTAAATTTGTGACCTGTGATTGCATCTCCCATTCTCTTATCTTTTTCTTGATTTGGTTAGATTATGATTACTGCAGTATAATGAGACTTCTGGGTACTGTCATTTACTTGAAGATCAGATTTTTTAAGTTAAAATCCTACAGTGACCTCATCATTGGATATCCGTGCTTCTTAAGTGAGCTGACAAGCTGGGCCTGGTGGTACAGATTGCAGTCCCAGCCACGCAGGAGGCTGAGACAAGAGGATCATGAATTTGAGATCCTCCTTGCAAATTAACAAGATCCCCATCTCAAAAAAGAAAAATAAAATATTTAACACATGGGAGAAGGCTAGGCTGTGCAAACCAGAAAAACTTTAGTTACATGGCATGGGTCGGACTGTGCCGATAGGCATAAAGCAGTTCACTGCACCTTTTCATACACCCCAAAATAGTACCTTTGGATAGTCACCCTCATCGTGTCAATTTGCTCTTCTTAGGCAGATGCAACGGCCAGAGTTCAATCCCTGGCCATTTGAGACTAGGCTTGGTGGCGCGTGCTTATAATCCCAACTCTTGGGAGGCTGAACTCGGGCAGATCACTACGAGTCCGATCTATATAGTGAGACCTTGTAGACCCTGTACTAAATCCGAAAAGAAAAACAAAATTCTTTTTCGCTCTTCTTACCAGTGACCTAATGAAGGTACAGCCTGGAGTAGTGGAAAGCAGATATGACTAAAAATCAAGACATCTGGTGTCAGGGCCCCAATCTGCTACTGACAATTGGAAGGCTCTGGGCACGCCTCAACCACTTATCAGAGATGCATCATGTGTCCCAAAGTCTGTGACACAATCAGCGCTTCTCTCACTTTAAGGCCCAGTTGAGTCTCGGGGTCTGTTGCATCGCAGATTGAGATTCAGTGGGGCGAGGCTGGGATTCTGCGCTTGGAGCAGACTGCCGGTGCTGACGTGAGACTGAGTCGAAAGAGTCCAGAAGTCAAACACACTCAGAAGGCCGTGTGCTGCATACACTTATAAGGAAGTGCTTTCTGCCCAAATCCCCAAGGCTTCTAGCATACTTCCCAAGAAAGGGGCGTGAGCAAAGTGGAGGGTTTCAGTAAACTGCTGCCGCAGTGACAAGGGGGCAGCGAGTGTTCCCGTGCGGGGCTCACTTCCTCCCACATAAATAGACAATACGGCTTGCCCTGCTTAATTAAGCCTCATTACAAGGAAAGGCACATGCACTCACACAACTCCCTGCTTGTCCCCACCCTGTGTGACTTGACCTGTAGGCTACCAACTTGTGACACGGCCAGACATCAAAGGATGAACTGGCCCAACCAGATCACCACTCCTGGAAACAGCCGATAATAACCTGAGTCAGGAGACAGAGGCAAACTTGAAAAGACCCCACATGGAAACAGGCCCATGGTGAGACAAGCCATAAAAAAGCTCAAGTTCCAGGGCCACACTATGTACACAGCAAGGGGTGTGACGAGGATGGAACGGTGGCCCAGAGCCCTGCAGAGAAACCCCGAGAGTTTCTCCAAATAGAATGACAGCCGCCGGCAGCTGCCCTTGAGCCACAAAAAGCAGTTCTATCATCTTTAGTGTCTCATGACGGTAATGGCTTACAGAGAAGGTCATGCTGGTGGAGTAGCATGGCTGTGACTTAGGAAGCCACTAGTAGACAGCCCCTTGCCAGGAAGTGACACTTCGCAGCAGCAGTATGACTTTATGCCATCACATCTTCATTTGGCCTATTTTGCCCTGTGCCCACCTTGGTCTCGGCTGCATATTTAATTTGTTTGCATATCCCTGATTTTCAGCATCTACCCTACCAGTTTATTTTCTGCATCTCTTATAGCCCTCACGAGCCGAAACATTTGGTCTCAGGAAATAAATAGACCAGGAGAAGATAAGCGGACCTATGTCTGAATCATCCTAACCTCAATTCCTCCTATTAATAATTATTACAGGTCAGGGAGATAGCTCAGTGGCATAAGCACCTGTCTGGCAAGCACAAGGTCCCAAGTTCAATTCCTGATACCACAAAAAAAAAGAAAAAAAAAGCATATTATTACAGACAAGAGATAGGTCTCTAGTTGCATGTTCCAGGATTCATCCATAGTAGGATCTCATGAAAAATCATACTGACTTAGACGATAACACTGACTCACAACGTTTACATTGTCAAAGATATAAAGGAATGACTAATATGTGCGAAAATAGCATCTGCCTCCAAAAGTTTGTGCTAATCTGAAATCAGTGTGCTCCCAAAAACTTTCCCTAATGCTCATTATGCATCAGCATCTCATCAGCTGAACTCCAGTGTTAGGCTTTCCAACTTCGAATAGCTAGCTTTTCACATTTCTTTTTGAAAATACATCTGATTTGACCTCAAAAGGTAATCAAAGTATTGTCCCTTCTGTCTACCACAGAAGAAGCTGCTTTCAAAGTGTAGTACAGGGGCCGGGGAGATGGCTCAGTGGAATAAGTGCCTCCCTGGCAAGCGCAAGGGCCTGAGTTCAATCCCTGGTTCCAGAAAAAAAAAAAATGTAGTTCAAAGAAAACCTCAGTAGTCCCATTAAAAATGTTTCATTTTCCCTGGTTATGAAGAGAGATGTGTGTTGTATCTCCTGTTTCCTCAGGACCACAAGTCCAACACCGGGTTTCCATAAAGCAATCAGAATGAATATTTGACATCTATTATTTCTTCACCATTCTCCTATTTGATCCATATGTCACTGTTTTTCTTATCTGGGCTCTTCTTTTGTGGTAAGCCACAAACCTCCTCCTAAAAAGATAACTTGGAGGTAGGCATGGTGGCACATGCCTGTAATCCCAGCTCTTAGGAGGATCTCAAGTTTGAAGCTGGCCTGGGATGCTCAGTGACAACCAATTTCAAAAGCCCATACATTAAATTTTTTCAATTTCTGTAAAGCTTGGGATGTAAATAAACATATCCTGTTTGTATTATGAGTGGGCGTGGTTTGAGGCATTGGACTACATACAGGAAAAAAGGGGGAAAAAGTGAGAGGTCCCTCAGTCTTCAAGATAAGTGTCCTAGTTACTCTTCTCTCATTGCTGGGACAAATACGCGACACTGAAGCTTAGGGAAGGAAAGGTTTATTTAGCTCACAGTTGCTGGAGGTTTCACAGTTTAAAGCAGCCTGAATTACATAGGAAGACCTTGAGACACTGCCCTCCCGCCCTACAGGGTCTGGAAGAGAGGCTGGGGCGCCACCGTGTCCAGGAGGATCCGCTCCATATACCTCCAGGAAAGGCCACCAGGACTGGGGGGTGGGGGGGGAAACGCATGCTGTCAGTTTAACGGTTTGTGCACCTCTCTGCCCCCTCCCCATCCTCTGGCCCCACCCCTCGAGCCACAGGAGGGGCTCCTCAAGCGGCGACCGCCCCATGATTTACATGAGGCTTTGGGGGTACAACTACATACAAACCATAGTAGTAAGTAATCATATTTACCCAACTCCTTCTTTGAACCTGTATTGTTTTATTTTGGTCCAAGATATTGATACAGGGAGAACATTTCTTACAATGCATTTGAGTTCAATAGATTTCACCCATCACCCCATAGTTACAAGTCAACTGCTTAGAGCATCTTCATCGCTTGGAATTGATTGGCTTTGCCTAACAGTGAGCCGAAATCTCGTTTGTATGAACAGGGGTGTGCATCTCCATCACTTCCAGGAAAGGTAGACTCGGGGGTGAGGGAGAGATAGAG